ATGTTTCGCGCCAATTCCGTTTCACACTGAGATGGTTCGCGCCTAAATGATTCACGCCGATTTAGGCGCGAAACATCTCACGTTTTATTTTAAATATTTAATCACATTTTGATCCATTTTAAATTATTTATCAAATATAAGATATGAATATGTTGTGTACTCTAATTCATGACTTAATAACATGCACTACTGCCATAGTTAATGGATCGTACGGTGCCCGTTTGCTTAGCGTGTCTGTTCAACATATTCAACAGTGATTCAATGGGGATTTAGTTGTAATAAGTTGGAGATCAAAAGGTGAGAATTGAAGTTGATGTGTGGGTTGTCCAAGCCAGCAGTAATTACTTAATTAGATGGCGGTATTATAATTATCTACTGTATATATACGTAATTAGCACAGTGTTATAATAATTCATAATTATGCTATGTATGTACACTTCAAACTCAGACATAAATAATTTACGTCTCTGCTTCAAATATAATCTTCTTAAATTAAATAAAATGTTCCAAAAATATCAATATTTACATATATTTTAAAATCTAAAATTTTGTTAAATGAACTAAACTCAGTAGCAAAACAGAATAAGCGCGAAACATCGCGGAGCGAACCATGCATAGGTGCGAAACATCCCGTTACCGCACAGGTCGGTCGTGTATATTATCATAATTATGCATAATAGCTATTACCGTCGTGTGCATATCTCTGGCAATGTGCGATTGCTATTTGCACGACCGTCGTGTAAATAGATTTTTTTCTTACCTATGTGCACGACGGTCGTGTATATATCTCAGCAATTTGTAATAGCTATTCGCACGACGGTCGTGTAAATAGACTTTCTTTTCTATGCGCACGACGGTCGTGTATATATCATCGGCCTTACATGATCGATGTGTTGAGAATGGTGGGGCGGATCTTATACAGGAAAACGATTTCCTCTGCAATATTTTGATAATATACACGTGTCTAACAAATAACTTCAATTTGTCTATATATCAAAATCGCATTCGTTCATCCACATTCAATTATCCAGAAAATCACCTTGTCTGAAGCTTCTATACATGTATAATACACAGCCCAGATATCAGAGACGTATAAAGCTACAATATAACATGTAGTAAAGAAACGGGTCTCGAATAAAAATCTAAATATTTTAATTAATATCAGTGGACTAGAAGATCAAGACGTGAATTAAAGATATAAATAAAAATAAATAATTATTTCAATGTTGAGAACAACGACAAAAGTGAGCTAGACGTGTCGAAACGTAAAACACGTGGATAAAAAAATCTGCGTCGACGCTCACCGTCTGCAACGTCATATCTTTATGACGTTATTTCTCTGTTTTAACAAAATTGCCATAAGGCCCTTTTGTCATGGGCGCAATCATATTATTTAGTTTCATATTGTTAATATAAACATTTTTGCTTCCGAAACGTAATAGCAAAATGTTGATTGTTAAAGAGTTATAGAGTTTTTTGCCCTTCTGAGCCCCTAATTTGAGGGACCAGTCCCTTTTTCTTGATATCATGTAAAGGATCTTAACATCTGCTCAAGTTTTTTAGGTATATGTTTTATCGTAGGTCTATAATTTTAACAAATACTCATAGTTTAAAAAGATCTGATAAAAAATGCATCAAAAATTTACTCAAGATTTGTGTCCTTAATTTCGACCCATACCGAGCTTCCATATCAGGCACTTCCGGAAAATTTGAAAAATCAGGTGCACCACAACTTCAACTCATCAAACTTTAGTAATTTTCAGTTCTAGATCGAACAAAATTAAAAAAATTGATGAAAGGGCGATAACTTCCTACCGGAAGTAAATTTCTAAAAATTAAAATAAAGGTATCAGGTTTAGATCATGATGCATCATGAAAATTGCAAGTTGATCGATCCGACCGTCTCTGAGAAATCTCTGCAAAAATATGTAAAGGAAAAAAAAAAAGAAAAGTGAAAGAGAAACACTAGAATAATGGAAGGGTCCACCATTGGAGACAAAGACCCTAGCTATAATTGAGAAATTAAATAAAATGTGGGAACAGACAACCCTTCTATTTTCTTCTGATGATAGAAGGCAAATGTAGTGTTTGGTCAACGGTCACTAAGATTACCCCTATTAATTAGGGGGTGGAATTGGTGGTTCTTAAGGCATAGATGGAAAGGAAAGTTTCTGAAATTCATATAAATGTGAAATTTTGTTTTTAAATGTGTAAAAGGAAGGTTGTAAACAACTACAAAGAGGTCTATGCATTTAAAAACAAACAAAAATTCAAATATGATTGTTGTACTGATAAATATTCTAGTATCATGAATCATACAGTCAGTCTGAAATGATTCAAATTGAATTTTATTGAAGCATAGATCGAGTGACAACATGGAATAAGCTACATGTAGGTCTGTAAATAGGCTCTACTGTCTTTTTAATCGCTGAAAGGTCTCAACAAGACTGAATAAGGGTGTATCGCTTTTAGGTAGTGTTTGTATCATGGTGAGGGATCAAGCTATCTTGAACTTGCCAATAACAACAGGAATGCGCGGATCTAGAGGGGGGCGAGGGGGGGGGGGTTCCGCACAGTTATTATAATTAAAAGTACATACTGAAACAAATAAAAAAAATGACTTTGCACCCCTCCTAGAAAACGTAGACCCCACCATCACCACCGCGAAATATAGGTCTTTTGCGCGTTTGGGAAATGGATTTTACGGGGTTTTTTTGTTTTTTTTAATTATCATTATAATTATTATTTTTTTTATTTTGTTTTTTGTTTTGTTTGTTTGATTGTTTGTTTGTTTTGTTTTGTTTTTATTTTTGTTTTGTTTTGTTTTTTTTTTTTTGGCTTGTCAAGGAATTTCTGGGTTGGAAATTTTTTTTTGACTGGGATAGACCCCTCCTCCCTCCCCCCGGAAAAAAATCTTGATCCGCTCCTGAACCGAAAGAACGGTACATATTGGGGATATACATAATTTGTCAGAAATCTCTCTCTCTCTCTCTCTCTCTATGTTTTCTACAATAAACAATACACTGTCTCTCATCAGACCCACTTTGTACAATCCACGTGGGAATCGCCTCATTAGCAAACTGCGCGATAAGATTGTTTTACATACAATACAAACTTACAATTTTCTCTTATACACGTAGATTTTGGTAAAAAAAAAAAAATCGGCAAAACATTTCACAATCCATGATTATTAATGTGTAAAGGATCAGCCACCTTTACCCTTGCCATCCGATCTTTCCTCTCAACTTTATTTTTATATGTATTGTTTTAAAAAATCGTATATGATACCTAAATATATTTCCAAGTCCGTATAATAGCTACACATTGATTTGCAATTTCTTGTTTAGAATACAAATTCCTCAAAACTTGTGTTATTTATCGGGAAGAACGAATCAAGAAACACGAGTTATTTTTCTTGTAGTATTTATCATTAGTGACGATTTCATTAAGATGAGAAATATTAAATCAAAAAATCACCCAATAATGTCTTACTTTGTTTGCTTAAAAGTTTACTTTATCGATAAATATCGAATATATTTACATGTAATTTACCTATAAAAGAATTTTTTTAAAGAATATACATGCATGATGAAATTAAACAACAGAACTCCTGGAGATGTCCAGAGAAAGTGGATTTATGTGTTTTATTCAGTTTTTAAAAACAAATTTAGAAGAATGAATATCCAACAAACGAGATAGATATTTTTGATGTTCATTTCTTTGTTGAAAGTGCCTAACTTTTATTTTGCTACCTTAATACTCGTACTGAAATGACCCATTGATAGAATAGTGGAAATCTGATGTGTAAATTGTTTTGTTGACGATAAGAAAAACATTCAATATTTATTTTTGGTCGTTTTAAAAGCTTTGAATGTTTTCAGTTTGTGTATACAGAGGCTGTGATTTTTCCGTAATGTAGAAGGATAATCTACAAATATGTTGTCTTTTTAAGAACTTCTGACTTTCTTTGCACGTTGTCTTGTATTACTCGGGGGTATAATAATTTATGATGGAAGCGAAAACTCGTGCGAAAATACAAAAGCTCCAAGTAACATTCCTGTGCTTTTCAAATATTGTTGGTCGGCATTCTTTATCCAGAAAATGAAAATTATTTAAAAAGTAAACAATGTAGATTGTTGCCTATAGTTAGCACGCTTTTAGCAATTTCGTGTGAGATTTTACAGGGTGGATTAGTTGTGTAAACAAAATATAAAGCTTCAGAACGTGTACACTAAAATGATAATTCTCTGTACCTTAACACGAACAATACCTCTCCCCAACACCTTGAGGTAAAAACAAAAATCTTATTAACATGGATCAACAATATTTACATAAAAGTTCATCTTCAAGACGCTGTGAAAAAAAAAAGATATTTTATCGTCTGACTTGACAAAATACATTTATTTTGGGTCATAATAAATTTAAAGGGACCATACGTCCACGTCATAAAGTGTAACAGGTATCTGTAATTAGGTATTGCGACCTCATTTAAATGTTTTCCTCTGATTTTTGAATAAAGCTGCGTTGTCGGTTTGGGAAATCCAGACGGTCGTTTAACTATCGGGGGTCCTCAAAAATCTCCACAGTTTGTCTACCGTGTATATCGTACTTTTTCCTGTTCTATTTAATTTCATGTAATCTGTGTATGAATATATTTGAACAGTTCTGGGGCAAAGGATACATATAGATCGTTCACGGCTCACAGTTGCCGCACAGCACAAATCGGAGATTATTAAATAGCAAAGGCACATTCATACACTTACCGAATTTTTCACCTTTTTTTTCTTTTTTGATCTATTTTTTCGGATTAGTTGAGGCATCGCACGACGAGAGGACTGACAGAAGAAGAAAAAAGTAAAATTTACCTGTCTTCCAAAAAGCAAAAAATTTGTGACATAAACATTTTTTTCTAATTAACTTTTTCTGTTAATTCTGGGATTTTTACGTGAAAAGAAACAGGGAACGAAGAAAGTTTAAGTGCGCCGATGGTACATTCGGTCTGTGTGTGTATACTCAATGCACCGATGCACTCCATATAAACAGAATCGTGTAGAGACTTTCCGGTCAGCGGCTCTGACACATCGGGAAAGAGGGCCCTGAATTATTACACCAAATTCACCAAGGAACTATTTAAAATATTCTCAAACTGGATTTTATATTTTTATCAATTAGAGCCACTTTTTATTCGCTCTACGGCTGTGCTTACTCGCTAATAGGTTGCACGTTGGTTGTTACAGCGCCATAAGCTGGGTTAATTTTCGTACCTTCGACCTATAACTCTCATCAAAACTTGTGGGAAAAAAGCTGATTTATGAAAAACGTGCTTTATATGAGTTATCATATTAAACACACGATAAGATTCTCAGAGAGCTAATTTGTTTGCAAGGATGAAGGTGTGTTAAAGAAAGAAAGGAGACTCTAGCAGAACTTTTGAAACTTTAATATTACTCGTTTTACGCTACACGCTCCTCCACTATAAAAATGGATCAGTGTTTGTGAATGAAGTTTTTGGAATATATGGGAGATGTATCATTCCAGTTTATAGTGGCACGCGTGAGGATTTTTAGCTGAAATTCTTTGAGTGTGACCACCAGGGAATATTATCAGAATGCACCTTGCGCTGTTGCTATCGTTCGTTATCTTTTGCAGCTTGGATTCAGTGGCCAGTGGGCTCAGGTCAAAAAGACGAGGTAAGACTGACACAAGAGGGGGGTCAAGTTGTTTGATCTCCGCACGGTATAATATATACAGATTCAATAAGTTCGTCACCCTTTAAAGTGCTCTGTATATACTTAGCTTTCTTTCATCTTGTGTGTGAAAGGCCTGAGCTATATGTTCCTCCTGGTAATATTGTATACATACTGTGCAAATATAGACAGATTTATATTACTCGACATTAACCAACATTTATCTGACCTTGGCAAATATATGTCCATGTCCGTCTTGTAGTTCTGGTAATAATTTACTTCTACACTGTATAACCTGACAATATCAAACTAATTTTTTTTTCTCAAACTAGAATTTAATGTGAACGATGTACAGTCGAACCGCATCAAAATTCCATTTCGTCACGGCAGGGATTTCTGAATATTTATCCCCAGATAATCCAAGATCTAAGAAGATTTGTGAAAAGAAATTCCTTTTTTTTCTGAATATGAATAATGAATACAAGTGTCTCTGTGTCAATAGGCCTTATCATTTGATCAAAAGTTCCCGGTAAATTCACAGGTTGTCAGCGTCCTTGAGATTAATTCTAAGGAGTTTTAAAACTCATGCCTGTGTGAAGATTTTTTTTTTTTCGCTACAAAAAAGACTGAGTGCCTGTCATTTTTGTTGAGGTGTGAACGCAATAAGAGAGCACTCTGTAGTGTATCGTAACTGCTTATATGAATGATACGTCTAAATGATGCCCTGTTAAGTTGTAAGTCTTGGACTTATTATCGTCTGCCACCAACTGTCGTCTGCCATGATAATGTCCAGTAATCGTCTGCAGCAGATACCGCGCAATGCAGTCGTGTCCTCCTTTCGTTTTGGTCCATTTATTATCCGCCTTTTGCATCCTCTACAGGTTCTCGTTTTATCACCTGTGAGGTTTGTTCTAACTCTTCACCTGAAGTCTGTGGGTCAGCCATTTTATCTTTTTCCTCTCACCTGGCTCAATTCATCACACATTGTGTCCTTTCAGGTCGAAAGCAGAAACATTATTTTTGGGGGAGAGGAAACATATGTTAAATTTCAACATCTTAGGCAGGGGAAATTATACTTGGAACACCAATCGAACACACACACCAAAAAAAAAAAAAAAAAAACTTGTCAGAGGGCAATATAGGTTATCCAAGACATTCATGGTATGGCTAAGGCATTTACGTCGGTTATCACTAAAGATGAATAATTGCCTTTTTATCGTATTTGAATGGGATAAAAAATTGCAAATAGATATTCTTTTGATAACAAAGGTACATACTAAATGTCTGGTCGTAATTTGTCTCTGATATAAATGGACGGAAAATGACCGCTGCTATCGTTAACAAGATGAAATGCTATATATATATTTCCTGTGGGAATTCGAATGTAAACAAAACCTTGATTACTTAGTATCTGGTAAATAATATGGATAGTAGGTATAAGTTCTGATAAATGGCCAGAGACGATGGAGATGTAGATCTAAGTGAAAAATTGGGAGCTTTTATACGAGATCATTTTCAGTTTTTCAAACGTTTTCTTGCAAGGAGTATATATGATTTATGATTTAAACATATTCTGTCATGTTATCATATTCAACTTAAGATTGGAAATTAATAAACAACAATATTTATTGACACATAGTTAATTCAATCGGGCTCAAGTTTTTACAACTTTAGATTAAAATTGACCTCTCCAATACCAAGTAAATGAAAAATAAATGTATATTATTTTGGTGGCGCACATTTAGGTTCCCAAATAAAACTGTTTCAAGGTGTAATATTCCTTTCAGTATTAATTCTTAAGGTATTAATCAAATACTTCTGATCTTAATGCAATGCAGAGTAAGCATATGTAATGGAGAAAGTAGTTCTTCTTGATATCTAAATAAAAAACTATGTATCTATACGCAAACGTTTTATTTTGGTGGGTGCTCCAACCCATTCCATATAATGGGAAATACAAACGTCTACGATTGTGACAAAACGATATGAAAAAACAGTAGGTGGTCTCAAAACACTACACCCTATTACAGCGAACACACCCAAGAACAATACGTACAACTGCATTCAGATGTCACAGAAACTGTGAATGGGTCGCTCAGATCGCTTACTCGCTTTGTCACCTGTCAACCTAGATCAGAGTTTTATTAAGAGATAGGATTATCAAGTTAATCTTTGCTTTGAAAATTTACAACTGTTTTACAATTTAATATTATGCAGTTTAAAGTTTAGAGATAATCTCAATGTTAAAAAAATACAAAACCTGATATATTACAAATTTTCTTTTATTTCTGCTTTTGATGTATATCTTTGAATAAACGGGTATGATATCTCTTGTCCTTGATTACAGTTGCTACGACAACACGTTGTTCTGTATTTCTGGTGTGGTGCGGGTGACTTTTTTGTAGAACATTCTCCTGAGTTATTTTCCTTTTTTTCTTTCTTTTTTTTTTAATTTCGGTCTCATCATGGGGTCTGGGTTAGGTGACTTCTTACTTTGTAAATTAATGGGGCTTTTGGCTGATTAAAGAAACTTCGCAGGTCACTGGTGCTACAATATTCCCAGTGTTATGAAGATTGTAATTTTGTGTCCTGCCAGGGAGCAGTTTCTCGTTGCGAAATACAGAAGACACACATGTTGATGATAAAATATGTAAATTTTATGCGGGATGGAGATAATGTATCGTTGTGGCAGGATTATAATGCCATGTATCTTGGAAGCCGACTAGCAGTACAAGTATGTGCCATGAATGATGAAACTGACTTTTATTCCTATTTTTGAATAAAGAAATGAATGGGTTGCTGTCTTATACCCAATCAATGCCAAGAAATGCAACTATTTCATATTTTTATGCACATCTTTTTAAACATGCACTGATGAAATAAGAGGTAAAAAGACATTTGCCCATCAATATACCCCTTTCAGTCCTGTTTTTGCAATAGATTCTATCAACTAACCAGAATAGAAGCTTAATTCTTTTTTAAATGCTGATATTTGACGTAGGATTGATCTAATTTAAGCAACAAATTCTTATCGAATTTCCCAAAAAACTTATCAATTATGTACAGTGTTACGTAAAAGTGGTCAAAAATATTAGCAAAAAGTGAAGCAAGTTAAATTTTATCGTTTGCCCGGTCGACAATTTGTATCAAAAAGCTGAAAGAAACTCCATTATTACTTAACCCTTTAAAGATGATATCTCCTGTTTAAATGGGGTATTATGAATTTCAATCCGCTGATTTTATCTGGAGGGATAGAATTTATGTGCTGAAATCGGAAGTGGAGAGAGACCATTAAATGCTTCATTCATAAAAAAGAGAACAAGTCTAATATTTCGCCTACCTGAACTTATATTTTATGAATCACTGAAAATTAAATCGCTTGTGGTTTGTAAAGTGAACAGGGTGCATTCACCTGTAGGGTTGTACAGACTGTTCTGTTCTTTCCATTCTGTGGTTTAGCCAGCAAGGTGCGCTAAAAAAGTGTAAATCCATTAGCGATACAGTTCATACGTTGTATGTAATGTAAAAGAGGCGTTCTCTTTATTTCTGTATGTTTGAACAGAACTTCATGAAGTAGAAAAATAAATGCGATTAAAAAAATAAGTAATCCACCTCAAAAATGGCAGGATTCGTTTTGGGTCAAAATTTTGTCGAAAGTATTTTACTTTTCTGGGTGCACATACAAAATCATTAGTCAAGATGTACAGTATATTTATAAACAATATTCTCTTGCTATGTAAATGTAACAAAAGATGGCAAAGAAATGTGAAAATCTGTCAGCAGTCATAATTCTTGTGACTCGTGTCATATTTCTGTAAAAAGACTGAAAGGATATACAAAATGTCTCGAGAATGTTGTGTTAATGAAATCTGAGCTGGGTTTTAAGACCCAAAATTTTTTCGGTTGTTTAAGCACTAAGAATACAGATTTGCTCAGTATTTGTATACGTGTTACTTAAAAGCAGACCCAGCAATCTCTGTACATAACTGCAGAAAAAAAATTATGTAGTACACTTTTTGCAGGATAATACATAAATGATACAGCAAAATCTTATGATTGACATTTTTCTGAGGTTTATATGAACTAGATCTAGCCTACAATGGGTTATACGATTTGGAACAATAAGATTACAAATATTTAACAAAGAAGGCTGGATGCTTCGTTGTAGATTTTCTTTAAATGATATTTTCAAGTACTGTTCATTTCCAGCTGCATGTTTATAATTACAATCTTTACAAAGCCACGTAAATTCAACGTTCAAATTGTGTGTGTTTTTTTTTCGGGGGGGGGGGGGGGCAGGAACAAAAATCTTATGAACGAAACAAATTAAAAAGAAAAAAAACTCCGTTTTCAGAAAATATATGTTTGATAATTCACGGATTAAACAGTTTATGTGATATAGCTTAAGGTGTAATAAAACAGCGTGGCTACCACTAAGGGATTATATCATGCAATGGATGTCGTCACGTCGATATTCTATCGTCTACGTGGCCCGGGGTACCCCATTTCCTCGCGTGTTGCCCAGACTCTATTCTGAATCAAACAAAGAGGTCTCCTTGGGTTCACTACATGCTATTAAAGCTAGTGATATAAGAGGATAGAGATATACTGATTTGATTGAAGTGATGACATTTATGTCTTAAGAATTTTCACAATTAAGAGAAGTAGACTTCAATGCGATATCTCTTCATTAAAGACCTAACAAACAGATATATGAGATAATATACCTATACTATGATGGAAATGAAAAAATAATTATAATCGTATATGTACAACGGGCATGTATATTTTACAAATATGTATAATTAGAAAACAAAAGTTACTATTTTTTGGTCGCTTAGGCTAGCCATACAAAATATATGGAAATATTTGAAAAAAAAAATATTTATATCCTTTTGTATGTAGGGAGGGTTAAAAAAGAAAGTGATACATTGTTCGGTCTTTGCAGAACAAAACAGCCTTATGAAAAGAGTACTGTTCTGTTTCCACGTTTTGCAGTCGGA